AGTATTAGATTGAAAAGCAGTGGAGACAGTGGACATCCATATCTCATTGATAATCTTAGAGAGAAGGCTCTGAGGTTTTCCCCAATGAGGATTATACTTGCAGTAGGGATGTGGTAGAGGGTATATATATATATATATATATATATATATATATATATATACCGTTTATCTGATATATCTCCAGGATGCACTGAACTGCTGTTGAATCTCTAGGTCGACAATATAGCTTAGCTCTTTTCCTTAGTCTTTCCATGAAGAGTGGTGTGCTGACAGCCTTTTGAAGGAATATTTTTCTCTCCAGGCGGTTCCAGACCGAAAAGCAGCTTCCTTTAAATGGACTGAGAACTCTCCATACTGGTCCCACAAGGTCGAAACGGACATAATTCTGACCAGCAGTGAATTCTGCAAATCCTTTTCGCGTCCTTAGGAATAAGGAAGCAAAAAGGATTTGGAGGGTTTGCAGGATTTGGAGGCTGGAGCACAGGCACAGCGGTAGGGCATTTGCCTTCCCCGCAGCCACAGCCGGACCCACCTTCCCGGCTTCAATTCCTCCGCCCCTCTCTCAAGAGTCCAGCAAGCTCCCCAGAGTCGCTGGCCATGTCGGAAAACGCCTGGGAAACTCCCCGTGCCAGATTCCATGTATTCCTGAGGCCAAACACACGACAAACCAAGTCCCCAAATGGAGACATTACTGGGTCAGCAAATCGAGGAACCATGGGAGGACAGTGCAGTGCTAAAGAACGGGAATCCCAAAGTTCTTAAGAGTGTGGCTTTTGGCGTCCAATGTTCCATTCCCAATCCCTCCACCCAGTGTTTCTGGAGGCTCTCTCCTCCACCCCTCCCCCAGTCCGAACGTGTCTACCTGACAGGCATCTTGAAAATATTGTGAGGAAAGTTTGAATCTTGGAATTGCAGTGTTATGAACCGAATATCGGTTTGAATATTTAGCTCTAGCATTTTGTCACTCCCACGAATGTACCTAAGTTCCCTTCACCTCTGCCCCAATCTCTCTCTCTCTCTCTCTCTCTCTCTCTCTCTCTCTCTCTCTCTCTCTCTTCTCACACTATCCTTCCTCCGTCTTTATGGTCTGGGTCCAATGGTCTAAACATCTCCTGCAGTTCCCTGAAATAGCACTTCTAAGTGATCTCCTCCGCTGTTGCTACTTCTCCCGTACTCCAGTGAACACGATCTGGTCCAGTTCTCTTTCATGCTGCAGCAAGTTGCAGGACTTTATCATTTCTGATAGCTGATAGGATACATACGTACATGGAGACACTGTTTTTCTGATCCATCTTCAGGATTTTCTGAACTGCTATTGAATCTCTAGGTTGATTATAGAGTTTAGCTCTCTTCCTTATTCTTTCCATGAAGAGTGGTGTGCTGACAGCCTTTTGAAGGAATATTTTTCCCTCCTGGGCGTTCCAGATGCCAAAGCCGCTTACCTTTCAATGGACTGAGAACTCTCCATACTGGTTCCACCAGGCTAAAACGAACATAATTCTGACCAGCAGTGAATTCTCCAAATCCTTTTCGTGTCCTTATTCCCTCCCTTCCGTGAGTAAATAAGGACATGAAAAGGATTCGGAGGGTTTGCAGGATATGGAGGCTGGAGCGCTAGCACAGCTGCAGGGCGTTTGCCTGCCGCGCAGGCTCGGCCGGGCCCTCCTTGCCCGCTTCAATTCCTCCGCCCTCTCTGGAGAGTCCTGCAAGCTCTCCAGAGTTGCTGGTCAGCTCGGGCAATGCCTGGCAAGCTCCCAGTGCCGGATTCAATGTATTCCGTATGCCAAACACACCACAACCCAAATGGCAAAATGGAGACGTTCCTGAGTCCGCTCGTGCAAATCGAGGAACCACGGGAGGATCTTGCAGTGCTAAAGAACGGGAATCCCAAAGTTCTTCAGAGTGTGGCTTTTGACGTCCAATGTTCCATTCCCAATCCCTTCACCAGTGTTTGTGGACGCTCTCTCCTCCACCTCTCCCCGCGTCCGAACGTGTCCTCCTGACAGGCACCTTGAAAATCTTGTGAAGAAAGTTTGAGTCTTGGAATTGCAGTGCTATGAACTGAATATCAGTGTGAATATTTAGCTCTAGCATTTTGTCACTTCCACGGATGTACCTGAGTTCCCTTCACCTCTGCCCCAATCTCTCTCTCTCTCTCTCTCTCTCTCTCTCTCTCTCTCTCTCTCTCTCTTTCTCTCCTCACACTTTCCTTCCTCTGTCTCTATTGTCTGGGTCCAAGGGTCTAAACATCTTCTCTAATTCCCCAAAATACCACTTCTAATCAATCTCATCCGCTGTTTCTCCTTCTCCTCCTGTCCTCCAGTGAACACGATCTGGTCCACTTCTCTTTCATGCTGCAGCAAGTTGAAGGATTTCATCATTTCTGATAGCTGAGTAGGAAAGATATGTACACGGAGGCACCGTTTTTCTGATCCATCTTCAGGATCCTCTGAACTCCTGTTGAATCTCTAGACCGAAGCTGCGTGCTTGATCCTTAATTACCCCATACCTAACATTGAAGCAAGCCCAAGGGAGAAAATTTGTAGAGAAAAGTCCCTGGGGAGCAACGTACACGCCCCACAGCGCCATCGAGTGGCGTATTGGCGGAACTACCGCCGCCCAACTTGGCCGTGCTTCAGATTCCCAGTCCTTGGGGGCTGGAGCCATAGCACAGCAGGTAGGGTGTTTGCCTTGCATACAACCGACCCGGGTGCAATTCCCAGCATCCCATATGTTTCCCCTGAGCACCGGCAGGGGTAATTCCTGACTGCAGAGCCAGGAGTAAACCCTGTTGCATCACTGGGTATGACCCCCAAAAGCAAAATAAAAAAATGAATTAAAAAAAAAAAAAGAAATCCAGCCCTTTCCTTCACTTCACTGTTAACTATTAGGGTCAATAAGGTCATTAAGGATCAAAGCAGGCAGCCTTGGGCCAGCCATGGATCGAATCCTGAGCGGGAAGGCGCTTGCATTGTATGGGGTGACCCGGGTTCTAACCCTGCACCCCATACGTTCCCCCAAGAACAGTCAGGAGTGATTGCTAAATGCAGGGGCATTCAGGGATGATCCCGAAGATCTCCCTGGTGTGGTCCCCAAAACACAAACCGACAAACAAAAGCCTTTCCCGGAGGATTCCTTCACGCCAAACTTGGGGATGCGGAGCTAAGTCTTGGTCTCACCACCTTCTTCCACGGAAGACTGCGAAGGTGCGGGGTGACTGGGACAGAACCATTCGCGACATGGGGCTCGACTGCGGGCAAAGCACTTGCCATGCCGCTGGGTTCCGTACAGACACCCGGGTCGCCCCATGCGAGGCCAGTGCCCTCGATGCTCGGTACCACTGCACAGCCTGGGGCGGCCTGCTGCATGCTCGTGACCCGCAGGTTCCCATGGAAGTGAACCCAAGGGCTGGAAATCTTTAGACAGGAAAGTCGGGCCACGGCTCTTCCACCAGTGCACCTCGAGAGGGCGCTGTGGGGTGCCTCTGTCCCTCCCCGGGGACGTTTCTCTAGGAAATGTCACCCTTGGAACTAATCACGCTCCAGAACTCGCTATAGCTCCCCAAGAACCTCAGCATTTCTGTAGGAAAAAGAAAAAAGAATAGTTTCTGTACAGAGAAGCCGGATCCTCATCACACTGCATAGCCTACAGCACTGACGGGCCAAGTGACTCTGGCGTCTTGATTTTGGGAGTTGGGCTCTGGGTGGCGGCAAAAATTTCTTGGTGGGGCTCACGGTAATTCTATGGTGCCTGAGACGTGAGCACAGAAGACGATTTTGCCTTCCCGCAGCATGATCTCTTCAAACCGACCTGTCCTTACATGTCTCCGGCCCCTTCATCTCACCCCCCAACACCCCACACTTCGGACAGTGCATCTTCCACCCTCCTGGACAGAAATTTGGGATTCCTATACCAATGAAAATTCCCAATATCCTCTGTTCTCCGTGGAGGAGAACGGCAGAAGCCTGTTTGAACTGCAACGTCTCTAGAAGTTTGGGGTCAAGGTACCGGCCGTCTGAGGAACTGGGGGTGCCTTGGGAAGAACTTTATTGAACATGGTCATAAAGAGCCTTGGGAGCCAATCTCCCTCCTGGAAATTCTACATACAACCATTGTACTGAGGATTTTTAATTTAATTTGGGGATTTGGTGTGGGCCCGTGGGGTTTTGGGGACCACAAGGAATGCCTGGGACTGAATCTCACCTGCCACAAGCAAGGCAACTTTTCATTATGTTTTATTTTTCTCTTTGGGGGTCACACCCAGCAATGCTCAGGGGTTACTCCAGGTTTTGCATGGAGGAATCACTCCTGGTGGTGTGCTCAGGGGACCATATGGAATACTGGGAATCGAACCCAGATTGACTGCGTGCAAGGGAAATGCCCTACCCTCTGTGCTATCTCACCAGCCCCTTCAGAACTTTTCTTGCTCAGAGCGAAGAGAACAAAAAAAAAAATCAAAGGAAAATAACCCTTCCTTGCTCTTTCCAGACCCAGTTCAAACCCCTGCACCCCTCGTTTGTGTTGGGCTCATTATTTGTGTGTAAGCTGAAATTCTTCTTAACCCGCCCCCAGGTCCTTTCACTCAGGGGTTCTCTTGGCTCTGACTCTGGAATCACTTCGGCATGACGGTGGGGCTGTATGGAGAGCCAGAGAAAGAACCAGGGTCCTGTGACTACAGACAAGGGCACTAATTAGCCTCTCTGCTCCTGCTGCCTAGGCCCAAACTATGTGCTGGGTTCTGAATGACCCTAGCCCTAACTTGAAATCACTCAGACGTGACTCAGAAATCACTCCGGCATGACTGGAGAAACCTGTGGAGAGCTACAAATGTACGCCGGTCCTCTGAATGCAAGTCAAGAGCCCTAGAACCTCTCTGCTGCCGCTGCCTAGGCCCCAGCAGCTCGCTTGATCCTTCATGACCCCACACTTCACATTGAGTCAAAGAAAAGGGCTGGAAAGCTTAAGCGTGGGAAAATTTGGGTCGCGGTAGTTCCGGTAAAATGCCGCGAGATGGCGCTGTGGACGTCTCCGTCTCTCGCCAGACCCGTTTCTCGAAAGAAGTTTCCACCCTTGGGTTGGCTTCAATGTTAAGTACGGGGCAATTAAGGATCAAGCACGCGGCTCCCACGTGTGCAGCGGTAGGGGAGCCGTGTGGAGGCTTGTCTTTCACGCAGGTGACCGGGGTTCGATTCCCGCCTTCAGACCTCTGTGGGGTACATAGCTGAATCTCCTCTGGGGGTGGGGGTGGGTTGCCCCGGCTTGATCTCTGGACAACGAAGGGTGCAGGGGTTTGAGTCAGGTCTGGAAAGAGCAAGGAAGGGTCATTTTCCTTTGATTTTTTGTTCTCTTCGCTCTGAGCAAGAAAAGTTCTGAAGGGATAGCACAGAGGGTAGGGCGTTTGCCTCGCACGCAGCCAATCTGGGTTCGATTCCCAGCGTCCCATATGGTCCACTGAGCACTGCCAGAAATGATTCCTGAGTGCAGAGCCAGGAGTAATCCTTGTGCAGGGCGGGGTCTGACCCTAAAGGCAAAAAATTAAAAAAAAAATTCTGAAGCCATTTTGTTATGACTGTGACCAAGACATTTACAAATGTTTTCTGTTATGGGCAACCCAAACCCCATCACCCCACATTCGGAGGGTGCCCCAACCCTCTTCTACAAGGAGGAAGGGGGGCATGGAAGAAGATACAACTTGGAACCCCCAAGTTAAGGACGATGGAATTCGCCATCAAGGGACTGAGGCTACTTTGTTTTAATTTTCTTGTTCATTTATGGTTGGGGCCACACCCAGAGATGCTCAGGGGACTCTCCTGGCTATGCAGGAATCCCACCCGGCACGACTGGGATGAGGAGCCGATGGACAGATGATGGTCCTGTGAAGGCAAGGCAAGGCCGAAACTGCGTGCTTGATCCTTAATTACACCATACCTAACACTGAAGCAAGCCCAAGGGCGGAAATTGGTAGAGAACAGTCCCTAGGGAGCAACGTACAAGCCCCACAGCGCCATCGCGTGGCGTTTTGGCGGAACTACCGCCGCCCGACTTTGCCACGCTGAAGATATTCAGCCCTTGGGACTGAAGCGATAGCGCAGCAGGTAGGGTGTTTGCCTTGCATGCAGCCGACCCCGGTTCAATTCCCGTATGGTCCCCCGAGCACCGGCAGCGATAATTCTTTGAGTGCAATGTGCACTTTTTAAGAAAAGGATTCCCAGCCCTTTACTTCGCTTCAGTGTTAAGTATGAGGGTCATGAAGGCTCGAAGCATGGAGCCTAGGGCCAGGCATGGATCAAATCCTGAGCCGGAACGGCGCTTGCTTGCCTTGGATGTGCTATCCATGCACCCCATACGTTCCCCCAAGAGCCGTCAGGAGGGATTCCTGAATGCAGGGGCGGGGATGATCCCGAATCTTGCCAGGTGTGGTCCCCGAAACACAAACAAACAAAAGCCTTTGGTGGAGGATTCCTTCACGCCAAACGGGGGCATGCCGAACTGAGTCTTCCTTCCACCACCTTCCTCCACGGAAGGCTGCGAAGGTGTAGGGTGACCGGGACAGGAACCGTTCGCGAAAGGGGGCTCTACTGTGGGCAAAAGCACTTTGCCATGCTGCTGGCTTCAGTCGCGACATCCGGGTCGCCCCATGCGAGGCCAGCGCCCTCAATGCTCGGTACCGCTGCACTGCCTGGGGCGGCCTGCTGCATGCTCGTGACCACAGGTTCACATGGAAACGAACCCAAGGGCTGGAAATCTTTAGGCAGGAAACTTCGGCCACGGCTCTTCCACCAACGCACCTCAAGAGGGCGCTGTGGGGCGTCTCTGTCCCTCAACCTGGGACGTTTCTCTATGAAATGTCACCCCGTGGTCCTAATCTCGCTCCAGAACTCGCTTTAGCTCCCCAGGACCCTCAGAATTTCTGCACAAATATATATATATATTTATATATATTTAATAATATATAAAATATATATTTATATATTTTATATATTATAAAACTAGATACTCCTGTTCCAGTGGAGGAAGAGGAAGATGATGCAGAAAGGGGCAAAGCCAATCCAGTTGCACTGCTATGAGATGTCTTATCTAGTGAATGTGCACTAACCACCACCATTTCAGCCAGAGTAGTAGCGGAGGTGCTGCTACTAAGGTGAAAGGATGGCTGTGAAACCACACCTGGGAATGGAGTAGTGGTAGAAACTGATGTCAGTGTGGCTACCCCAGTAGTGCTGCCTGTTGCCTGCATATATATAAATAAATATATATATTTATATATATTTAATAATATATAAATTATTATTATATATTATATATAAGTGTACAGCAGACACTCATTCATAGTCAGCCGCAGCCAGATTTGCTGCCTAAATATTAAATACTAAATAATATATATTATTAATATATATATATTATAAAAAGTTGGAAACTTGTCATCAGGCCGTAGTTCAAATAATGACATAACTCAAAGAAGAGTGGAAAACTGGATTGTATTTAAAGTCACTTCATGGTTTTGTTCTTCAGTTATTCACACAAGTTGACAGATTTGGATCAAACTACTGTTTGATTATGCTAATTGAGAGGCAGTCATTTTGGAGGGCGAGTTTTTAAGTTTTTGGGTAATCCAAAAATGGAAGGTTAAAGGAGTCCTATGAATTTCCCTTCTTACATGATCTGATTCTGAATTTTTTTTGTTTGCCTTTGCAGTTGCTGTCTCTACTACGGCTCAGGGTGCTGGAATGAACCTCTCTCACTCTGCTTCATCCCTGAGTTTACAGCAGGCCTTTTCAGAACTTAAACATGCCCAAATAACTGAAGGGCCCAGAACAGCACCTCCCAACTTTAGTCACACGCGACCAACTTTCCCAGTTGTAATGCCTCCTTCCATGAGTAACGTTTCTGGAGTCGCAGTCCCAGCAGTAGCCATACCTTCAGTACCAGTCCCTCTTAGTGATGTCTCTCCGTCAGTATTTCAGTCTGAGGGTCCAGTGCCCACTGAAAAAGGGATTGCTAGGGTTGCCCTGGCACAAGTATAGTAACTTCAAGTGGTCCCCCTATAAAACCTGCATCTGAATCACCAGTACTTTCCAGTGTGATTTCAAGCACCACAGTACCTACAGTTGTGTCTGTATTGACAACGTGTTAGGCAGTTCAGGCTCCCATATCTGGAAGTATTGTTTCCAGTATAGGAAATTTCTCTATTCCAGTTTCCTCACCTTCAGCCTCTGTGGTGGGCATTGCTGCCACCCCAGGTGCTAAGCCTCCACCTGTATTATCTCAGCAGGCAACAGGCAGCACTACTGGGGTAGCCACACTGACATCAGTTTCTACCACTACTCCATTCCCAGGTGTGGTTTCACAGCCATCCTTTCACCTTAGTAGCAGCACCTCCGCTACTACTCTGGCTGAAATGGTGGTGGTTAGTGCACATTCACTAGATAAGACATCTCATAGCAGTGCAACTGGATTGGCTTTGCCCCTTTCTGCATCATCTTCCTCTTCCTCCACTGGAACAGGAGTATCTAGTTCTGTTTCTCAGCCTGGTGGGTTGCACCCTTTGGTTGTCCCATCAGCAGTATCTTCTACTCCTGTCCTTGCCCAAGCAGCACCTACTTCTACACCTTTATTACCCCAGGTCCCTAGTATCCCACCCTTGGTACAACCTATTGCCAATGTGCCTGCTGTACAGCAGACACTCATTCATAGTCAGCCGCAGCCAGCTTTGCTGCCCAACAAACCTCACACTCGCTGTCCTGAAATAGATGCTGATACACAACCTAAAGCTCCTGGTATCGATGACATAAAGACTCTAGAGGAAAAGCTATGATCTCTCTTTAGTGAACGCAGTTCATCTGGAGCTCAACATGCCTCTGTGTCTCTGGAGACGTCACTAGTGGTAGAGACCACAGTCCCACCAGGCATACCAACAACTGCTGTTGCACCAAGTAAACTCATGACTTCCACTACAAGTACTTGTTTACCACCTACCAGTTTGCAAGTAGGGACACCTGGTTTGTCGGTTATACCAGCGGTCACACCTGGACAAGTTTCTACACCAGTCAGCTACATTTCAGCCTCAGTCAGCACTGCAGCAGGAGTGAAACCTGGAACTGCACCATCAAAGCCACCTTTAACTAAGACTTCGGTAAGATTCTTGCTTTGAAATAATTTGACAAATATGATCACTCTTTTCTCTCAGCTTTCAAATTCACTCTATCACTGTCATCCTGTTGTTCATTGATTTGCTTGAGCGGGCACCAGTAACATCTCCATTCGTCCTAGTCCTGAGATTTTTAGCAGCCTCTCTTTACTCGTCCTTCCCAACGGTGCCACATCGAAGGTTCTTTTAGGGTCAAGGGAATGAGACCCATTATTGTTACGGTTTTTGGCATATCAAAACACCACGGGGAGCTTGCCAGGCTCTGCCATGCGGACAGGATATTCTCGGTAGCTTGCCAAGAGGGAGAATCAGTCATCAAATTAGCCTTATAAATTAGAAACGTTATATAGATGCTTACCTTATAGTAGCTATGTTACATTGATTGAAGGTTAGTTTAGGATCTATATAGATTATGCATAAAGATCTATGGGATTTTTTTTAATTTGGCCGGATTTTTGGCTAATTATGCTGTATAATTTTCAAATTATATAATTATTTTTAATATATTATTAGTTTACCTGTATAATAATCAAGTAAACTGCTAGTATTTCTTCCTAATTGTTAAACACTGAAGAAATATGGTTCCCAAAAGGGAGCTAAATACTTTTGCTGGAAAATTTTTCTGGAAAATTATATAGTGATAACAGTTAATAGTATCAGTGAATATGAAGCAAACTTTTCCACTTTGCCTAGTTTCCACGGTGCGCACTTGGCGTGTTATCGAAAAGTGGACAGATGATTGAATTGATAGGGAAAAAATCTAATACTAGGAATAAAATAACTAGAATGTGTTTTCTAATTCTGCTTTGTCAATTTCCTCTAATTCTGCTACCTTGTTCAGTCTCTGTTCTCCAAATAACGAGACTATTTTCTATTGTGTTCAATGTTTCACCCATCTTTCAACGTTTCCACTTATTTTAGTCTTGTTTAAGTATAAAAATGTACGAACTCCACTGAAAAAATACTTGATAGTATTAGATTTCCGGTGTCATTTGTTATCAGATTTTCCCTTGTCTTATTTCTAAAGTATTTCCTCAGAAAACTCCTGGGTATTTTAGTAAAGGCCTAACAGATAATACTGCACCATGTAACTGACTCAGGACTATCTTGGCTGAGCTTATCAACTTATCCTCATTGCCTTGTTTTCTTCATTTTTCTTAGGGATAACTTTTTACTGAATTTTACTCTTTTATTTTATGCAATATTAGCCCTATAGTAATACTTGCTTTAATTTCCCTTTAAGACAGATTTTAGAATGTAACCCAGACACCTTAATTAGATATTCGTCTTAAGCTTATGCATTCGGATGGGTTCATTTCTTCTTAGGTTTGCAGTATTTATTCTTAGTGTTTCATGGACTCGAATTTCCCTTCATTGTCCATAGGTGCTGCCTGTAGGTCCTGAGCCTTCAGCTGGTGCCCCACCCAGCGAGCAGCTGCCACGTTTTCCAGGACCTTCACTAACTCAGGTGCCTTAAGCTTCGGCAGATTTCTACTCATGCCCTATCTTCTTTGACAAAACTTATTTAAATTCTTCATTGCATGATATTGACTTCTTTCTCTTAGTTTTGACTTAATAATCACCCTCTCATAACAATGTAACAAGTGTCCCTGATTTTACTTAAGAAGCTTTATTTCTTTTGTTTGTAATACTGCTTTAAGTCCTCTCAAAAATGTTTCGTATTAATATTTTTTTCATGCCCCATGAAGGAAGAAAATAATGAAGTTGACACTTGCCACACAACTGTAGCTCTTTGGGTTTTTGTTGTTTTGTTTGAGGGCTCCAACCAGCAGTACTTAGGGCTTACTCCTGGCGCTGCAATCAGAGATCACTACTGGTGGGTGTCAGGGGACCATATAGGGTGCTGGGTATTTAGCTCGAATTGCCTGCATGCAAAATGAGCGCCCTACCTGCTGTACTATCCTTCTGGCACTAACTCTTTGGTTTTCAGCACTTGTAGAATAGTGAACTTTTAGAGTGAAGAAAACAAGAAACTTGAATTTTACACTTTTGTAGGTTCTAAGTCATCATGTAAATAAAACTTTTTAAATTAAAATTAGCTGAAAGCATTTTAGGAAAGGGTACAACACTGTTAATTAGCATGGCCTTACTCTGTGAAATCAGTGCAACCATTTTTTTCTCTTGAAAGCTTGACATTTCTTTTATGACCACATTATGAAATATTTTTTGCTTATAGGTGGGCATAGTATAAGATTATGACTTATGAAATATATATGTCTTTAGACGCAATACCTCTCAGCCTAGCTAACATAGGCTAGGTTATTTAATTATTTTAATTAATAACCTGTGTTATAATAATACAGTAGGTAAGACATTTGTTATTATTAAAACATAGGTTATTACCAACGATATGAATGTGAAATTTCTGTCTCATACTAAGTTCAGTACATTTGATGAAATATGGTAGAATTGCCTGCAATATATAAGTTATTTGTCTTTCCTACCATATCCCACCTTCACAACACAATTGAATTCCCAATAGAAAAGTACTTGTTACAAATCTATTTTAAGTGTAAAAACATTTTCAACGTGAGACAAGATAGTAAATGTGAAAATTAAGTTAGAAATTTGTTTTAGAATCATACAGAAAGAAAACATGGTAAATTGTTTACTTCAGAGATTTGAACTATCCCTGCATTTTTAATCTCAAGTGTATAGGACACCATTTACAGAACTTGACTTAATAATGACTCCAAAAGAGAACCCTCTTTATCAGCTGCCAGTTTGGTTTGGTTTTGGTCCACATTTGGTGTTGGTCAGGGCTTATTCCTGGTTCTATTACTCCTGCCAGAGCTTGGAGGATAAGTGGTGCCAGAGAGCCAATCCAGGTAGACTGTGTGCAAGGCAAGTGCCTTACCTACTGTATTAGTTCTCCAACTCAATTCTTTTACAAATTGCTTTGTGAAAATCTGTGAATTAGGAGATTTAAACTTACTTTCTCATTAAAAACATGTATTTGAGATAAAGAGAATTCAAAAGTGTGGTTACAGACAGCTAATAAGATCTCTTCCAGGGAGCTGAAGTAATGATAGTACAGTGGGTTGGGCGCTTGCCTTGAATGTGATTGACCCAGGTTCCATCCCTGGCATCCCATATGGTCCCCCAAGTCCCATCAGGAGTGATCCGTAAACACAGAGCGAGGACTAAGTCTTGAGCACCACTAGGTGTCACTCCCCTACCTGCTTAAAAAAAAGAGAAAAAAAGATACTTCACAAGGTGAGGGATAAGTGGCAAGTACACAGAACAGAACAGAGGTAAATGAATGCTATGGTAGATAAAAGCCAAAGTAGATCACTGGATTCAGGACTATAATGAATGGTAAAAGGTATGGTGACTAGTAATAAGGACTGATTAAGAAGATAGACTACTCATACCTGCAGTTCCTCCTTGCTGTCATCTGTAGGGCATAAGAAGTGTAGATTGAGGCCAGAAAGATAATTCAAAGGGCTCGTATGGATGCTTTGCATGTGAGAGGCACGGATTCAAACCCCTACACCCTGAACACCAGGAATAGTTTCTGAACACTGCCAAATATGCCCTGAATAAGTAACCAAAATGTATAAATTGTTGGAACTATCCTTTGGTACCTTAGTGTTAACAGCATATTTGATGCCATATTTTATTTATAGAAATCATATTTTATAAGAATGTATAAAAGATGAAAAAGAAAATAGGTAACATAGTGTGATATATAATTAATTTACCAATATATAAGTATTGGTGGAGGGGTGGGGGGTACTCTAAAGACCCTGGAGCTCCCCCGAGCAACCAGGCCAGTGGCAGTTCAGTGCAAGGATCCGAAGGTATAGTGCTGCTCAGGTCCTGTGGTACCAGGGATTACCTGGCACTCAGAGGCTTCAAAGAGCATACATAAGATTTAATCAGGGCACAGGCATGCTTCTTAACCCCTGAATCTGGATCTCTCTGATTCAGAATCTATTTTATACACACACACACACACACACACACACACACACACACACTTTTTTTTTCTTTTTGGGTTGTACCCAGCAATACTCAGGTAATTTATTCCTGGCTTTGAATTCACCAGGAATTACTCCTAGTGGTGTTCAGGGGACCATATGGGATGCCAGGTATCGAACTCGGGTTGCCAGTGTGCAGGGCAAGTGCTGTACTGTCGCTCTGGCTCCAACCCAGAATATAGATAGATAGATAGATAGATAGATAGATAGATAGATAGATGTAGATAAAATAAATATAGTGGCATAAAAAGATATAGATATATAAAATATATCTCTATATATTTTTTTATTGAATCACCATGAGATAGTTACAAGCTTTCATGTTTGGGTTACAATCACACAGTGATCAAACACCAACCCTTCCACCAGTGCACATTCCCCACCACCAATATCCCTGGCATACCCCCCTTTCCCACCTTCCCCCTGCCTCCATGGCAGACAATACTCCCCATACTCTCTCTACTTTTGGGCATTATGGTTTGCAGTGCAGATACTGAGAGCAAGATATATTTTTAAAGAGAAAAAATATAGATAACTTTTCTATCACTGTATATAATATATAATATAAATAGAAGGCAAAAAGAAAAAAGAAAAAAATTAAAATTAAAAGCATTGATGTAATTGAATTTCATTAAGGTTTGAAAAATTGACAAATTTTTGAAACAGGTAACTCAAGTAGTTTGTCTAAGTTGAAAATTTTGTATACTGAGGGGCTGAAGCATCAGTCAGCCCCTCAACATACAAATTGTAAAAATTACTTGATCTTCACATACCATGTGGTCCCCCACCCTTCCCCACTACCACCACCAGGAGTAATTAGTTCCTGAGAGCAGAACCAGGAGTAACAAATGTTATATTGTGTAAAACTAAAGCATAAAACTATGTCCTCTATAAATTATTTATACATATGTAAATTATATATACATGTGTGTGCGTGTGCATACGACAACTATGAATATGCTGGACCCATGCTTACCAATAAATTGTTTTCATTCAGTCCCAGCAACCTCTGGAAGATCTTGATACTCAGTTGAGAAGAACACTGAGTCCAGAGTCTATTGCGGTGACATCTGCAGTTGGTGTAAGTTTGAAAATCTTGATAAAATCTTTACATAACCCAAAGGCATATTTCTGGGACATAATGGTAATCTGGGGGCAGGGAGGTGCCTCCAAGAGCTTTGCTTTTGGGAGGCTGATAGTCAGTCCCCAATACCGCCAGAAGTGCCCTCCGTGTATGGTGTGGAGCATTGTCTCTGAGCACCAATTCAGTCATCAATGGGATGTGACCCTCCAAAGAAACAAAAACAAAGAAATGGCAACCTGGGCGATTTTTGATGCCATAATACCTATTTAAAGCCTTTATTCCAGCCAATAGAAGTGAGATAGACTAATGAAAGTTTAACCTGGACCCAGAAATTTAGCAATGTAAAGTTACAACTAGATAGATAGGTAGATAGATAGATATAGAGAGATAGATAAAAGATATATATATATATATTTAGGTATATAAAAAGATATATAGAGATATATAAAATATATCATATATAGATTTTTTATTTATTTTATTTATATATATATAAAATCTCCAGAAGAGCCCAAAAGATGACTCCATATATATAGATATATATTTTTATTTTTTTTTTTATATTTGAAAGATAATTTCTTATGTTTCCTCTGGTTAGAATTATTCCTCAGATTAATCCTGTGAATTTTGTATTTATGCTTTAGAGTAGGTACTACTTAAAAAGGTTTTTTGTTTTTTTGTTTTTTTATTTATTTAGACTCTGTGGTTTACAAAGTTATTTTTAATTGGTTTCAGTTCAGGCATATAACGTTCCCACCTCTAGTTCCACCACCCTATAACCCTATCCCTCCACCAGTACAGTTTTGTTTTGTTTTTTGTGCCACACCCAGCCATTCTTAGGGCTTCTGGCTCCCTGTTTGGGAATCACTCCTGGTGGGCTCAGGATCATACAGATTACCAGGGATTGTACCTGTGTCAGCTGCTTGCAAAGCAAGCGTCCTGCTTGCTGTACTATTACTCTGGCTCCTCCAGTACTACTTAAAATTTTAGATAACTCATTTAGGCGTGTGACAGAACATGTTCTGATTAAAATTCAACTCTGAGGTGTGAAAAACCTCTAAATATTCAGAGAATAGTTAAAGTGATACAAAGGGTTAAGACTCAATTTTCTTTCTAACAAGAAGTTATCTTTCTTGAGTTGGTGGTGTAACTCAATGACAAATGGCATAGTTTATGTGTGAGGCGCTGAATTCAATCCCCAGCACATGTATTTAAAAGGAAAAACAAATTACTTTGGACATTAGTATTTCACGTCTGTTTGGCTTTTGCTTTTCCTTGTTTTACAAAGGTCGGGGGAGCAGTATCAATACAAAAACTTTAAAGTAGGAGCCCATAAGATGTCTCAGTGGCTTAAAAAGTACTTACTTGCCAAGCAGAAGTTCAAATCCCAGTGGTGCTGCATGCACTAAGGTGATAGAAATAGTTTTCCTGTCGTGAATCTCTGGAAGAGCCCAAAAGATGACTCTGTGGTTTAATACATTAACGGATGTTTGCAAGGCCGTAAGATCAAACCTCAGTTCCTACCCCAAGAACTGGGCCAGTTCTAACTCTGCTGTTAACAGGGAACTCTACTAAGATAGGGCTGAAGGTGGCTCGGTAGCTTAGAGAATACCCTGGCCACGTATGAGGCCACCAGTGAGGTGGGAGGTATTTGAGAGTGACTAAAGCTAAATCCCTTGTTTTGCAGCCTGTGCCGGTGGTGGCTCCAACAGCAGTTGTGGAAACCGGGGGTCAGCCTCAGAAGGACGGTGAGCATTCTTGTCTATATTGCTGTTTCCAGGCTTTCCTTTAACTGATTATAGAGATTCCTATTTCAGAGAAACACACGTAAGAGTATAGGTATGTTTGAAACCACTTTAAAGAACTTGTTTAATGTGTATTGATTTTGTGTCCATTTTTTAAATTTATTTAATCCTGTTGAAATTGCAAAATTATTTATGATTGTTTTCCAGACATACAGTGTTTCCACTCCAGTCCCTCTACCAGTTTCTACTTTCCTCCACCAATGTTACTGCACCCCCTCACCCCCATTCCACAATCACACCTCCAGTCCCACCCCTTTTGCCTCCCACCCCCAGTCTGCCTCTGTTAGAAACACCAATTATTGGGGGGAAGGGGTAATGTTACATTTTTATAAAATAAGATAGAACTTCAATTGAAATATGAAATCAGTTATTAACTTGTTGTATAAAAGAAAATGCTGATACTTAAAAGTATTTTGAGAAAGAACTTGGAACAAATGATCATCCCCAGAAAGAAGGAAATACAGCTACTAAAAACTTATCAGTGATACATTAAAAAAAAATTTAAAAAACTTACCAATGATTTTGATACCTGGGTTATTTTGCTAAAATATTCCCTGACTCAGTTTCTCATAGCTATTATCATTTTTAAATCATCTTTCATGTCCTTGATTAAAGAACCAGGAAGATAACTCAAATAGCAGAGCACATGACAACATTTACAAGGGCCTGAGTTTGATCCTTGACACCATATTGCCTCTTCCCCAACTACATCACTATTATAGTCCTAGTGGCCCCCCAGGATAACCCCTATGTATAAATTACACATGCATGCGCATACACACACACACACACACACACACACACACACACACACACACACACCCATCCATTAAAAATCTTATCTACGAACTAAAGAATCGATAAGTCACCTTCTTAATACATATTATATCTTAGTTTGGTGTTTTTGGTTTTTAAATACTATCTTACAGTGTTTTTAATGTTACAGTTTTATTAATAGGCAACGTTTTATTATTTTAAACAGTGCTGTGTATATATATGTGTGTGTATATATATATGTACATACACATATAAGAAAGGGTAGAGAATTGATAAATTTCAGACTTTCAGTTCCTCACAAGTAATATGTTCTTTTCATACTAAAATTATCTAGCAAGAGAACAGACAGTAACTTCTAGGTCAGAGACTAAAAGGAGAGGCAGATGAGAAAATTTCCCTTGCCTCTGTGATTTTTCTTATGTTTTATATCGTTTCTTCTCTGTTGTATTCTGGCCAAAGGGAAAAGAAGCTAACTAAAAAGAGATGCTAGTTTAAGTTGTTTTTCTGCATGTTTTTGTTTCAGTTTCTCAAGTTTCAGAAGGTTCTGTGATTGCAAACAGTTCAGGAACTGGTGTTTTTCAGACAGGGCGATTTCAGGTAAGACAGTTTCTCCCCATACTTCATTTTTGGAGGGAAAAAATGCCTTTTAGACATAATTGCTAATCCAAGAATATATTTCTTTTTTTAAAGCACTTTTAAAGCATTATCATTTCTCCCTCTAACAAACATTAGCGTTTAAAGAAAATATAGGATATTTAAAAGAGCAGTTTCATACTATTGACCCATCCTCTTTTTATCACCAGCACCACCATCACTCTATAAGATTACTTCTTGGAAGTATATTTTTCCTCTTCCTTTTCCTCTGTACACATGTCTCTCTGTAACTGACCCTGCTTCTCCAGTGAATGCCTTATTTCTTTTCTTGTCAGCAGTTGATTTAATTCCATTTCCATTGTTACTTGTTTCTGCTATTTTCAGCATAATAAAACAAAAAGTGAGCGTCTTTCTGTCCCAATGTTTTTGAATATTTAGAGTAATTTTCTTAGAATTAACTTCTGAAGTGAAAATACAGAGTCGCTATAAAGTGATAACACATCATTTCATTTTCCTAATGAGTGAATGGTTTCTGTTCCTTCATACATCATGCCAAAATTGGAAGTCACTCCTTCTTCTTGTTGCTGGACTGCATTTTTATTAATAATAGATGAATGAAGTAGGATACGGATCTTAACCTCTCTTTAGTACCATTTAGGTGTTTGGTGTTTGTTTTTTTTAAGTAGGTAACATGCCCACACGGCAGAGTCTGGCAAACTCCCCGTGGTATACCCAATATGCCAAATACCAGTAACAATGATGGGTCTCATTCTCCTAACCCTGAAAAAGCCTTGAATATGGCACTTCTTAAACAAAAAAAAATCTCAGGGCTAGGATGAAGAAGACGTTACTGGCACCTGCGCGAGGCAATCGACGAACAACAGGGTGGTCGTGATCGGTCGTGAAGATGGTTATACTAGTATTAACATTTATGGTAGTGATAGATAAAGCTACTGCACTTTACCATTGCCTAATACTCTCCATCAACAACCTTTGTTACTTCTAATTGTTAGATTGACTTTTACTTTAACATATTTTGATTCTTAGCATTTAGCATTTATTAAGTTTAGTCAGTGGTTTTTTTGTAGTCATAAACAATCTTAAAGATTCCATGAGCTAATCATTTTTACTGTGACATGAATCTGAGTCCTGTGCGTAATGAAATTAACTTACTTGGTAAGCTTAACCAGCCCCTTAAAATTCTGCAGCTCAATGAGAATAAGTTCTTTATTATGGTCTTCAATATATTTTCACAGTTAAAAAATGAAGAGGATATGTAAACAGACAAATCAGCTTAAGCACTGATATTTCAACTTTTTTATGATTAATGCTAAACTTTTATTATTGCAAACTTAACCCCGCTTTGATTTCTTTCCTTCAGGTTTCAGTCACAATGGATGACACACAGAAAGGGGGTAAAAGTAAGCCAGAAGATTCAAAGTCTGTTCACTTTGAATCCAGCACTTCAGAGTCCTCAGTACTATCAAGTAGTAGTCCAGAGAGTACCCTGGTAAAACAAGAACCTAATGGGTTAACCATCCACATTGCTTCAGATATGCCAGATAGTGCCCACAAAATCTCTGCCTCGGAAACAAAGACAGAAACTGGACAACCCACCAAGGTTGGACGATTCCAGGTGACAACTACAGCAAACAAGGTAGGTCGTTTCTCTATATCAAGAACGGAAGATAAGATTGGTGAGGCCAAGAAAGAAGTACCAGTGACATCTCCTCCGTCTGCGCATTTGGAACAAACTGTCCTTCCTGCTGTGATACCAAAGAAAGAAAAGTCGGAACTCTCAGATCCTGCGCATCTGAATGGACCATCTTCTGACCTAGAAACAAGTAGAGATGTGGATGATGGTTCAGGCAGTCCACACTCGCCTCCTCAAGTACTCTCAGAGAGCCTTCCTATCCAGAACCTAAGTCAAAGCCTTAGTAATTCATTCAATTCTTCTTACATGAGTAGTGACAACGAGTCAGACATCGAAGATGAAGACTTAAAATTAGAACTGCGACAACTAAGAGAAAAGTAAGTATGATTCTTCCTATGTAAGATTAATGGCAGAAAATAAGATGTTGTTCCTGGCACCTAGATCAATATTCATTCTTGTCACTGTGATAGGCTTAAATTTTACTTCTTTTAGGATGAGTGCCAGAGATGTGAAACAAGTAATGTACACACGCTCCGCATGTGCGCTGAGGCCCTGGGTTTGATACCCAGCAGCACATGGACACCCCCCCCCCATCATTATCGGTGTGGCCCCCACAACTTAAAAAAAGTGGGTGTGGTATGCAAAAGTTGGTTCTTAGAATACAGTTCTTACTGATTCTTATTTTTTTATGTATTTATTTGGGCTGGAGCAGTAGCACAGCAGGTACAGTGTTTGCCGTGCACTCAGCCGACCCAACCGACCCAGGCTTGATTGCTCCATCCCTCTTGGAGAGCCCGGCAAGCTACTGAGAGTATCTTGCTCGTTCGGCAAAGCCTGGCAAGCTGCCCGTGACGTATTCGATATGCCAAAAACACTAACAGGTGTCACAATGGAGGCATTACTGGACCCACTCAAGCAAGTCGATGAACAATGGGAGGACAGTGACAGTGTTTTATTTATTTATTTTTAAGCAATTTATTGGCCTAGGGCACGCATCCTAGGAAGCTCAGTGAGAGGAACTTGGCAGTGGTTTGGAACTCTGGATTCTTTTTTTTTTCTTTTCTTTTTGGGTCACACTCAGCAATGCACAGTGGTTACTCCTGGCTCATGCACTCAGGAATTACTCCTGGTGGTGTTCTGGGGACCATATGGGATGCTGGGAATTGAACGCGTGCAAGGCAAATGCCCTACCTGATTTGCTATTACTCCAGCCCCAGTTCTTAACGATTCTTGACCTTTTAAGAGTTGAATGCAGAGCATTTTGACATAGATAATTTATTCAGTACATTTTTAATTATATAAACTTCAATATACTAATACATTATCGTTATGGGCGTTTGCCTTGCACATGGCTGACCCGGGATCAATCCTCCATCCCTCTCAGAGAGCCCGGCAAGCTACCGAAAGTATCCTGCCCACATGGCAGAGTCTGGCAAACTCCCCGTGGCATATTTGATATGCCAAAAACAGTAACAACAAGTCTCATAATGGAGACGTTGCTGGTGCCTGCTCGAGCAAATCGATGAACAATGAGAGGACAGTGCTACAGTGCAGTAGCATTTCTGGGGACTGAGAGATAGTACAATGTGTGGGGTACTTGCCTTGCCTGTGACCGATCCAGGTTTAATCCTTAGAACTCTATGTGGTCTCTTGGGCTCTGAGTCAAAAAGAAAGCCCTGAGAACAGCCAAGTGTGGCCCAAACCACCCACTACCAAGTCTGTCCCCCCCCCCCCCCCACAGCACTGTCTAATTATTACTAATCTTAACTATTTACTAGTCTACTGTATGGTTTCAGTAAAGGCACTAAGATAAAAGATTATGTTAGTAGATTTTGTTGGTCATGTTTGACAGAGGAGCAAATCAAGTAACCTCAAAGTTAGGAAATGTTTTTCTTCTAACAGTTCATCAGTCACTTCTTGTTGACTATGAACTTGTTGGAATTTGAGTTGCATACTATAGGCTAATGAGATGAGTTGATAATTAATCTCAAGGTCTTAGAAATTAAACAAATATAGTTAGGGAAAACATTTTAAGTAGATACATCTTGCATGAAGGTCAAAGTATTTGTTGTTAATTCTTTTTTGAGCAAAGATGAACATATTTTTAAATAATGTCTTTTATCTTTATAGACATCTTAAAGAGATTCAAGACCTGCAGAGTTGCCAGAAACATGAAATTGAATCTTTGTATACAAAACTGGGCAAAGTTCCATCTGCTGTCATTATTCCCCCAGCTGCCCTACTTTCCAGGAGAATAAGGCGACCAACTAAAAACAAAGGCAGCAAATCTAGTTGTAGCACTTCCTTGGGGAATAAAAGTCCCCAGCTTTCAGGTAAAAAAAAAAAAAACCTGGACTAGGTTACCCATGAATGTCTTGACTTTAGTTTTTGCTTTCAGTTTTATAATCTGTTGAACTTTTTGTTATTTTTATTAAATTATAAGAGGCACGGCAAAACCTGGCAAGCTACCCGTGACGTATTCGATAGGCCAAAGACAGAAACAAGTTCCACAATTCGTTGTGAGATGTTACTGGTGCCCACTCGAGCAAATCAATGAACAACAGGAGGACAGTGCTACAGTGCTACAGACTTTCAGACATTCCTAATACTAGTACTCTTTTTTCTTTGACTTCCCTTCTCCTCCCCCCAATTTTATAGTACTTCTTACTTAGTCTGCTAAAGTAACTGTGTGAATCCACTGGTGTACTCCATTATAAATCTATATAGCTATGTACTCAGAGTCTTTATAGTTGTTCACAAGGAGTAAACATTAAACTGCCTGATAATTCAAATAATTAACATTTTATCAAACTCTTGAACAGGTGGAGGAAAAGCATTTTTCTCTAATATAAAAAAGCATTTTAGGCAGCCACACTGGGTAGGGCATTGTCTTGGATGTGATAGATATGGGTTCCATTCCATCTCTGGCATCCCATATGATCCCCAAGCAATGCCAGGACTTATTCCTAAGTGCAGAGCCAGGAGTAATCCCTGAGTACCTGAGTACAGTTAAGTGTGCTCCTACCCACCAAAAAAAAAAAAAAAAAGACTTTTTTTATCAGTGCAGGTAACTTCTTCCTCTTAATGGATTTAATGGATGAATTGGTCATAAACACAGCTGGTATAAATGTTCGTTTCACATAGATATTTGGGTGTTTAATGATTTTTTTTATTTATTGAATCACTGTGAGAAAGGTTACAAAGCTTTCAGGTTTAGGTCTCAGTCATGCAAATATCACACACATTTCCCTTTACCAATACTTATTTTTTACCATGAAGAACCCCAATAAAACCCCACCCCCCACCCCTCCCCGTCCCTGTGAGGCAGATGAATTCTAGTTAACACTCTATCTGCTTTGATTAGATTCACTGTTTCAATAAAAGATTCACCACTATTATTTAGAGTTTACCCCCCCCCCCCCCAATCAGACATGCTGAAAAAGCATTGTGAAGTGATTTGCTTTCTACAGCTGGGTTCAAGAATTAAATGTTGGTTTTGGATTTCTGCTATTTTACCTATTGTCCCTGGAAGTATTTCTACTGAAAGTCAGATAGTTAAGAAATTGGTTTCTGTGCTCTGGAGTCGTGGCCGAGCTGGAGAGCCGCTCATGGGGGGCAACTGGTGGCCTCGGTAGGGTGTGAAGGGCGGACTGAAACGCCCCCCTTCCCATGAGGTTTTAGTCGCCCACACTCCTGACTCATACCTGCTGCCCACAAGGCTCCCATGTGGCCACCATCTTTCTTTCCAGAGGGAGGAGAGCAGAAGGGAGCAACACCCTTTCCCCTCCGGCAGACTTGATGGCCTGGATCAACGCATAGTCCTTTCACTTTTCTGCTCCAAGCTGCTGGGTTCTACATTAAGTCCTTGTGCTTCTGGGGCTGTGGCCGTGCTGGAGAGCCGCTCGTGGGGGGCAACTGGTGACCTCGGTAGGGCGTGAAGGACGGACTGGAACGCCCCCCTTCCCATGAGGTTTTAGTTGCCCCCACACCCCCGGCTCATACCTGCTGTCCACAAGGCTCCCATGCGGTCGCCATCCTTCTTTCCAGAGAAGAGAGGGCGAATGGGGCAACACCCTTTCCCCTCCGGCAGACTTGATGGCCTGGATTAACGCATAGTCCGTTCACTTTTCTGCTCCAAGCTGCTGGGTTCTGCATTAAGTCCTTGTGCTTCTGGGGCTGTGGGATTTTTTTTAATGTCACTGTCCTCCCATTGTTCATCGATTTGCTTGAGCGGGCCCAGTAACGTCTCCATTGTGAGACTCATTACTGTGTTTGGCATATAGAATACGTCACGGGTAGCTTCAGGCTTTGCCGAGCGGGCGAGATACTCTCGGTAGCTTGCCAGGTTCTCTGCTATTTATTCAGCCACTGATTAGCTGATTGAATTAGGCATGAACTCCACCTTACTTTTTTTTTATATATAATTTTATTTATTGAATCCCCGTGAGAGCAGTTACAAAGCTTTTGGATTTAAGTCTCGGTCATACAATGAAACACCTGTACCTTCACCAGTGCCCGTTCTCCACCACCAAAAACCCCAGTATAACCCCATCTCACACCCTCCCCCTACCTGTGGGGCAAATGATTTCCACATTACTCTCTTACTAGTTTGATCACATTCAATATTTTGACAACAGGTCCACCATTATTATTTGGGATTTTACCCCAACACTCAGAAAAGGCAACAGTAGACAATTTGTTTTCTATTGCTGGTTAAGAATAACATACGATGTCACTTAGCTGAAGTAGTGGCCACGCGATTTTGAAATTTGAAATTTTAACACTTAAATCTGGAGGGATTTCTGCCAAAACCTCAATAATTTTTCTTAATTGAAGTTTTTATTTATTTTGAAATAACTTATTAGGGGCTTTAATCAAAGAAGCACTAAGTCAGTCTTTTATAATAAATTATGGGTTATCTTTTAATTGTGATAGATTTTGCTCTGGTGACGTTATGGTACTGTTAACAAGTAATTAAAGAATGGAGAAAGCTGAGAGAAGTTTATATCTAATATTTTCTTTTCACATTCAACATAAATATGTTGGAGACCAGGTGCAAAATTTATAGCTGCTCTGCATTCTTTGGAAGTTATATTGGTTTGATTGATTAGGTTTGGGCTTTGGACTTCAGATTAGCTGTATGCAAGAAAGTATACCCATTGTACTATCTCTCTGGCTCTCTCTAGAAACTTTTAGAAACTTGTAGGCTTTAGAAGCCTAAACTCCTTTTTGTGAGTTAAATTCTTTTGACATTTTTCAGTAGACTGCAGTTCTGGGTACTAGGGAACAGAGAAGTTGCTCCATTTTAAGTCACTGGACTAGTGAGTTCAGCATCACCTACCATTACTTTGTAGTCAGTTACATCATATTTTGTTTGTTTGGGGCCACATCCTGTGGTGTTCAGAGATAACTCCTTATTCTGCACTTAAGATTTACTCCTGGCAGGGCTAGGGAGACTATATGGGACACTTGTGATCAAATCTAGACCAGCCTATCCACGGAACTGTCTTTTTCGCCCCTACATCATTTTTTTTCAAGTTGCATGAATTAACACACATGCTGAGCATGTGTGAGGCCCTGGGTTTGACCCCTAGTACTTCATGTCCTCCTGAGCACTGCTGCATATTGCCCCAGGCTCTCATCCCCACTGGGTGTGTGTTCCTCCATACCACGAAGCTGCTTTTGTCAGTACTCAAATTGATGACCTGGTTTCCACAATTATGGGAAACTTGGCTACATAATTTAGGATATGGGAGACTGTTCGCACTTTTCTCCTATCATTTAATTAAAAAATAGTTTTTTTAATAAACATTTTTTAAGGACTAGATAGACCGCCTTCCTAACAGATCTAGTTTTATCATGATTCGTCTCAGTTACTTTATTGTGGGATTATTTTTAATGCAATCAAGGAATTGTAAAATAAAGTATTCTTAGAACTTGGGAAATAAAATTTACTGCATCTTTGGGGTTGGAGAGATAGTACAGCAGAGAGGGTGCTTGCCTTGCCATGGCCAATCCTGGCATCTCATATGATCCCCCAAGCCAGCCAGACAGAATCCCTGTGCACTACCAAAACTGGTGTGGCCCCAAGACAACAATAGTAAGTTACTGCATCTTTAATTTTCTTACTCAGCTTAGTCTTGTGAATCATTCAGGTTACTTAGAGTTAGAAATCCTTTTGGCAGGAGAAATAGTACAGCAGGTAGCATTCCTGCCTTGCATGCTGCTGACCTGGGTTTAATTCCCAGCATCCCATAAGGTCCCATAAGCATCACCAGGAGTAGATTTCTGAGTGAAGAGCCAGTAGTAAGCCCTGAGCACCGCCATGTGTGTCCCCCAAACAAAAACAAAAAGTTAAGAATTTTGGAGGAGCCAGGGGCATATCTCAGTGAAAGAACACTTATCTTGGAAGTACGATGCCCAGGGCTCAGTACCCAGCACCTCACAAACAAAAATGTCCTTTTGGAATAGTTTGTTCTAGCCCTATTCCGTTGATTGCCTGTCACTACTCATTTCCCTTCCTGTTAGTGAAGACTTGATCTTCTATCGAGTGTAGCCCTGAAATCTATAGCTTTTAGCCTCTTCATACAATGGTACAAATAAAGAAATAAGAATGGTACTTAATAAGTACAGTGGCGAAGCAGTGCATATTTTAGTTTATATTCTCACGACACCTTAATTTTTGGACAGGTAACCTGTCTGGCCAGAGTGCAACTTCCGTCTTACACCCCCAGCAGACCCTCCATGCTCCTGGGAACATCCCGGAGACTGGGCAGAATCAGCTGCTACAGCCCCTTAAGCCATCTCCCTCTAGTGACAACCTCTATTCAGCCTTCACAAGTGACGGTGCCATTTCAGTACCAAGCCTTTCTGCTCCAGGTCAAGGTAAGAAATGAAAGCAACCAATATCTTGCGGAAATGGGAAGTGTTGCCGTACCTATGACAAAGTAGTCTCTTGGTTGAGGTGGGGTGGAAAAGCGGCTGAGCAGTACACAGTCTGTATATCTTGGACAGTGATTAGATTAGATGGGCTCATTTCTTCCATCGGGTAAAATTACAGTTATCAAGAAATTACAAGAGGTTATATCCGTGACATATAGGAGAACTTGGTGACTCATTTTGGAACTAGATTTTTAATACCGAACAGATTTTTGGACCAAATTCACAGGAGTTTTAGCAGTTTCCCAAATTTAATGCATTTGTGTCGCCAACATTAGTATAGAAGGAAGAGCTTTTAGTAACGTTAGAGCAAGAGTGAAAGTAATCTGGGTAGATCAAAATGAAAGCAAATACAGATAACTGGTTAGGTGCTTTTGCCACCATATCCTAGAAGTTAGAATATCAGAGAAGTTACGTTGTCTCTTCACAAGATAAGTGTTCTTGTCTAATAGGATCAGATGGTATTAGTCCCATTGAGAAGGGTTCCGAAATTTTGTAGCTGGAGGGAAGTGAGACCTAATATTTCTTGTGTGACACAGCTGACCTTTCCCTAGAAGCTTACTCTTCCGTGTGCCATCTTAGTGCATTTCACCACTTCAGCCTCAAGTTTCTAACATCTTGTAGCTGTGTTCTGTCTCTTCTCTCTCTGTTCTTCCCTGTTTTTCCCCTCTCACAGGCTGTGCAAAGTTTAACTGTGCATCTGAGCAGGTGACATTCAAACCTGGTGGCAGGAGGACCCGATTTCTGAGTACGCCCTGCTTGGCTCTTTGTGTGTAACACCTTTACTCCTTCCTCGTCCTTGTTTTCTTCTGCTTGGATCTGATATTAATGCAGTCCATTTTCATTTGTCTATTTGTTTATCATCTACTCAGTGGCATGGTTGAGCTATTGTTACTCTCAGAAGTTTGGGACTCTGATAATTATGATTAAGGGTGTAGAAATGGGCTTTTAGACGCTTCAGAATAAGTTTTCGATAGAATTGCTTGTTGTAGGTCTGTCAGAGTAGGAATGGTTATTATCAAAGATATGTAGATTACGGAGTTATTAAAAATAATGAAATATAAATTCCATGTGACAGAAAGCATCTTAACCACTGATGCATGTAGGTCCTGGCAGTGAGTAAAAGTTACACCTTATGTTTCTGTTCTTTTTCAGGAGTAAGTGGAAATTTTAGTCTTCTCAGTTTAGCTTAACCATGAATTGAAAAGATACGACAAATTAATCATTGCAATACCACTACCCTCTTAACTCTGTAAAGTTAGTGGTTCAAAGGATTTTAGTGTCGGTAGGAAAAAGTGTTTATTCTACTAAGGATCAAAGGCCTGCAAGTGAAAATGGTGTTTTAAACATAACTGCTGATCCACCCAGCTTTCCTCTTTTAATAAAAGCATTTTGGTGGAAGTTTAAATTGGTCGGTATGCTACAGTGCATGGAGGAGACCCAGGTTTTATCCCAGTGTTGCATGTGATCCCTTCAGCACAGCCAAGGTTGATCTTCCCAAGCAGCAAGCCAGGAATAGCTCTTAAGCACTGACTATGGAGTATGGTCCAAGCTTCCCACACACACTCCCCCAAAAAGAAATTGCGCAATAGCAAATTACTCATTGTCTCCAGATCATCTTTGCCGTGTGTGAAAAAATTATGCTAATTTTCTAGGTTGTTGAGGAGTCAAAATTTGACACAAAAATAGGTACTTGAGCAGCACATACCATTTCCACCTGGTACATAGCACATTAAGTGGTCAGTAAATGTCTGTTGAAATAAAAATTTTAAATAGGAATAGAATTTGGATAAAAACTTTCTTGCTAAGGCCTCAAACTTCTGATGTGATTATTAAAGTGTTTTGTTGTTGGTTTATTTATGCATATGCAAAGGCCATTATATTTCTGAATATGGTTTAGAGGTCCTTGAGCCTCATCATTTATCATTAGTCCAGGGCTACTTAACAATGAAATAAGAAAGGGCATTACCCAGTGTGGTGGTTTCACAAGCATTTTGAGTTTTGAGCAGTCAACAGCTTTCCAGGTTAAATTAGACTAGACTTAGCACATTAGCACCATGTCGCTTATATAATTTATTTGCCCAGCTAGAAAGATAAGAAAGTGCTCATAATAGGAAACTTTAAAGTAGCAGTTTTGTAGGAAAGAATGAGATGCCAGGCCAGCGATAAGAAGCCCAGGATTTCTGTGGGAATAGAGAGCAAATCCGTTTTGTGAAATAGAATGTGACAGGTGCCGCTTCAGATTAGTTCACTTAATTCACCATACCTTCAAGATAGATGGTCTTACACTACTGTTCCAGTGAAAATAGTTAGAAATAATAACTCTTTTTCATTTGCTTTTGAGTAAGAATGTGATACCCTGTCGAAGAGGCAGATTAAAGTAAATGTGGAAGGAGAAGAGGTGCTTAGAGGAATGGGGCAAGAGGTGTTGGATTATTCGGTGCTCTCAAAATAGATTATAGTTTGGAAGCATGGCTTGGCTTAATGCTTTATTTATGTTCAAATTGCTTTGTTTTCCACATACTTCTAAAGATTCTTCTAGAGGGGAATGGGATAGAATGTATGTCTAGGATGTGGAAATACAATAGCCAAAGCAAGTTAACTTAAAACAATAGTAGTGGTCCTATCTCTCATACTGTGATAGAACTGCTAATGCATTGGATTGAGTGCTTTTTAACAACCCAGCAGGAGAAACAGAAAGTGGGACAGGGTCAATGCAAAGACGGTTTGGGCATTCAAAATTGCAGAAAACCTGGAGTTCCTCCCCCTTGATGCAGAGAATGACTGACTCTGTGATGTGATTGGTGTAGAAACTCAACTTCTGTCAGCAAGTTGGAGTCAGTTAGATTTCTCCCACTAGAAATCTGTGGGAAGGCTCCCACACTGTCTCCCCTCCTGCTTTCTCTTGCTGGGCCTTTGTGTGCTGTTTAAGAGATTCTAAGTATTTTACACTGACGTTTCTTTATCTTTAACACATTGCTCTCTCTTTGTGCTTCAGGGAAGATGGTGAATAAAGTCTGTCCTTGCAACCAGCTCTGTAGTAATTATCTTTTCTTTCTGTTACTTTTGATCCTTGATTGCAAAGCCTGTTACTCATTAATTCTTTGAAACCTAAAGCTAACTCCCTATTCCCAACTCCATCTGTCTAGTTTTGCACCCTTTTCTAACAGATCCTTTAATGTGCTTAATTGCTGACCACTGGCTCTCCTCCTAGTTAAGAAATCACCTCATAAATCGTGTTCTCAGTGTTCCTCCCCTGTGAGCATAGCTCTGTAACAGAAGTTGATGAGGCACATGAATATCGAGAGATCAGAGCTACCTGGCTCCTTTGGGGAAGAGTCCTCTAGTCAGCAAGTACGTGCCAGCCACTAGTGACTGTGTCAACCGAAAAAAACAGTTGTTAAAACATATAAAAGTTCATAACCCTTGGGGCTGAGATGATAACTAACATATGTCTTGCATACTGAGGCCCCAAGTTCTATCTCCATCACTGCATGACCCCTTAAAGCATCACTGGGTCTGGTGATCGTCAGCACCACTAGGCCCAAGCAGCATCATGTCACCAGGAATGGCCTCAAGGTCTCCAGATACTGTTTTATGAATTTGGGCCCTTTTTCAGCATTCTCTGCACCCCTCACCCCCACCCCCTAAAAAAGAGAAAAGTCCATACTTTCACATTACAGTGAGAAAGGTTTGCAAGATTGGTGAGATGACATTATTTTGTAGAATTTGGCTTCTTAGATTAGTGGCTTCACTTTAAGGTTGGTTCAGCAACTCAGCAGGCCACCTACAGGGCCAACAAGAAAACTACATTTGGGCTACTGGGCGGTAAGTTGTGCCTCATGTAGGTTGTTACTAGAACCTGGTGGTGTGGGGTATGAGGGAAATGTATTGACAAAAAGTCTTTTAATGAATTTTTTATGGTAAAATGGCTCCTTTTTGGAGCTTTTCAGGATCATTGATTGAATAAGGTTTAAAGGTAGTAGACCCTCTGTAAGACAAGCAGTATTCTCAGAAATAATCTGTATCAGAAATTCTTTTCACTTCTATAATGAACTGAATACACTAGCTGCTCCTAATCTTTATCAGCAAATCTACTTTTCCAGGCGTTCATTTCTGGTCTAAAAAGCATGTGGTTTCCCCATCTTTGGTGGAAAACCTGTTTTCAGCAATGAGAATAAGGTTTAAACTATGGTCACCTCTCCCTTACAGCATAAACCTGCACTTTCAGAATCCAGTATTGCTAATATTTATCAAAATGAAAAATGGAATCTGGTAATAAAGGGGCCTTACAGTATCAGAGGCAACTAGCATGAGACTAGAGAGGCATCACTCCCAGCATGAGCTTTGGGAATAAAAAATGCTCAACTTGATTGAGCTGCTTGTATTTGGCTTTTGACAGCTCTGCTCACTTGTGAAGGCTTTTGGTTTTTTGGTTGGGTTTTTTTTTGGGGGGGGGGTTTGTTTTGTTTTCTGATTTTGAAACTTTGTCAAGCTTATCATGCAGTAATTCAAGTAACTTGATGATCGTCCTCATGCATGTGACATGCTTGCCTATCTGGATTCCATCATCATGACTACCCATCCTCATTGCCTGTGCTTCCTATTCCATCACTGTCTCTCTTGCTAATTGAGGAGGGCTGTTTCCTTACAAAGATATGTAGATTACGGAGTTATTAAAAATAATGAAATATAAATTCCATGTGACAGAATGCCCAAACCGTCTTTCCTTGCTTTTATATTTTTCCACTTGGGTTTCCTGTATTGTAGTGAATTTATCCTTCCCTTTACACTGTCTGTGCAACAGAAACCCCCCTGTGGCTCTCTCAGGCACCAAAAAGTGGGCTGATACACACTGCAGATCAAGGTCTTGCTTAGGTGGCCGCGATCATGTAACCTTCACTCTACAACTTCACGTCCAGCTTAGCTGTTACTCTAGGGCAGACTTGCTTATGTATGCCATTCCTTGGGTGCTAGAATATAAACTTGAAACCAGCAGTGGATTATGAGGGGCTATTTAAAAAGAAAATAAAAGTGTGTATATATATATGTATATGTATTTAAAGGACTTTTAGATGGCAGAGTTGCTTGAGGTGTGCTGCTGTGCTCCAGTGCTGCTTGATCTTGAAAGCAGGAATATGTATGCATCCTTAGCCCTCAGCATTACTTAAATAGCTTAAGTATCAGTGGCTCACAACTTATTTTAATAGCTTTTATTTATTCTGCAGCAAATACGAGATCCTGTGTAAGAAAGTGGGGTGTAAGGGGTATGAAACAAGACCCTGACTATTCTTTCCCTCTTCCCTAAATCTTGCCTCCTTGAATAATCTTCAGTGTGCCCTCCAGCAGAGCCGAAATCAGACAGGACACAGACTCCTTTCTTTTCAAACCCTAGCAATATAGTTTCTTCATCATAATCTCAAAGCTTCTCCTCCCCTTTGCACCCTCCCTCACCTGAATGTTCCTGTTGCTTCCACATGAGAGTGCTTGCTCTTCTGGGAAGAGGGGGCAAGGGAATGGGCGAAGAACCTCGAACCAATTGAAACCTAAGTCACCTTGAGGAAAACGGTCTTCCTGGAGTTGAAACGTTCGAGTACAGCATAAAGAGCCTTCCTTAGGGTCCAGGGTGATAGCTCAGAGGGCTAGAGCACATGCCTTGGGTCCAAGAGCCTGGGGTTCAATCCCCAGCAGCTCGTGGTCCCCAGAGCGCTTCCAAGCATGGCCCCCAAAACAACAAAAAAGTCCACCTGTCTTCATGAGTGATTTTGGGTCTTTACTCATTAACAACTAGGGAGGCTAAAAGCCTGATCCCTCCTAAGTTTATGTGGACCACTTCACTGTTAGTGGTTGGGTGCCAAGTTTCTATTTACAGAGCATGCTACTGCTTTTGTTACTTTCTATTAAAGAATGGTTAAAGACTGTCAGTGTCTTCATGGTTTAGGGACCCCATCTTTTCCTGGGCACTTACCTTTGCATCCCTTTAACTCTTTCTTTAACTTTGCTTTAATGTGCAAGAAATCTTCTTTTGCCCTACGTTCTGCAACATTCTAAGGCAACTTTCTTCATTGCCCATACTACACCTCCCACATCGACATGGTGATGGGAATACCGTACTCGCGGCAAGCTTCACTACTCTACAGTGCTGTGGAGGGGCTGAGAGAAGATTTTGCCCTTTGTACCTACCATCATCCTGAGTTCTGCCTCATCTGCAGCAGCTCCCTGAAAAGAACCTGTTTGACTACCCTGTTTTGCCCCGAACACAGTACCTTGGAAACTTCCTTTCTTGCATGGCTTCCCAATATTTTCTCTTCCCGTTTTGTGGCTTGCTTGTCATCATATTGTGAAGTTTTTTCTTTTCCTACAATTATAGTCCAGGCTCCTCTTAATGGTTGTATTCTTTTGCTTCTTCCTCTAGGGACCAGCAGCACAAACACTGTCGGGGGGCCAGTGAACAGCCAAGCTGCCCAAGCTCAGCCACCTGCCATGACGTCCAGCAGGAAGGGCACATTCACAGATGACCTGCACAAGTTGGTGGACAACTGGGTCCGAGATGCCATGAATCTTTCAGGTAGGAGAGGAAGCAAAGGGCACATGAATTATGAGGTAATTCTTTCCTTGTGTTCCAAGTCTGTCAGAGCACACATTTGAATCAAACGTATTACTTAGGCTAGTGCTTAATATTTCATGCCATAATCTTTTTTAGTAGCTCCTCATTTTTCTTTTTTTGTTTTGGAACCAGATACAGGAGTGTTCGGGGCTTATACCTGACTCTGCCCTTTAGGGATTCTTCCTGGCAATGCTTAGGAGGATCATTTGTATTACCAAGATTGGCGCTCACGTACTAGGCAAGTACCTTACCTGGTGTGCTATCCTCCCTGGCCCCAGGTATTTTAGAAAAAGAAGATACACATCAGCCAGGTGTACCCTTTTAGTTTTCGTACCCCAAGTCTCTGGCTCCCAGTAGGTCAGCTCTTTTCCTTCCATATTCTGATTTGCATGCACACACATACCACATAATATTTGGTAAATATAAAGAATCGGATTGGAACAACAGTACAGAGGTAGGGCTCTTGCATTGCCGGAGGCCAACCTCGATTCGGTACCCAGCTTCCCATATGGTCCCCCGAGCGCTACCAGGAATAATTCCTGAGTGCAGAGCCAGGAATAAGCCCTCAGCATCACCAGGTGTGACCCAAAAACTGGGTGAATAGGGATATGTATATATATATATATATATATATAAATACACACACACACACACACATATACATATATCACAATCATCCAGTTGTTCGTCGATTGCCTCGAGCAGGCACCAGTAACATGTCGGGAGCTGATGGTGGGTGTGACCCTGCCTACTGGAAGATGGAGGATCTGGGTGGAGGATGCTCGGCCCCAATCCGAGTAGGCTTGGAGATCTCAGCCCCAGGACCCGCATGCCTTTGTTCCTATGCCACTACCTTCATGTGTGTGGAGAGTGGTCTCAGCATGGTGGTGGCTGGTTCTGGAGGAGATCTTCGGCTGCCGGGGCTCTGCTCAGGGCAGGGAGGGAAACTCAACCCGCCCCCCTCCAGGGATGACAGGGTTGGCTTCTCAAAACTCCTTGCTCCTCAAGTTCAGGGTGTGTGAGAAGTGTGGCCCCTGGTCCTCTTGACTGTGTTTTCTCTTTCAGTTTCAGGCTCTGACTCCTGAGCAGGTGGCATTCCGTGCTTCGCACAGGCAGCAGTATGTGGACCCTCGGGGCCAAGGCCACATGGCTGGCTACAACTATGAATTCACCAATTCCTACTTCGGCAATTGAGAGCAAATCTTTTTTTTTTTTGTTCTGGGCAGTCTTCCTTTCATGTGTAATTTGGGTTCAAGGGAGGGTGGCAGAAAGTCGGTGTGCATTTCCTCAATTACCTTGATGGCAATAACCAAAGCCCAAGTCCTGCTAAGACTGGAGTCAAGGAGGTTCTACCTTCTGGGTCTGGCTTTAAATTCTGGTTCTACATGTATTTATTATCTTGAGTTGACTATAGGAAAAATGTTGATATTTCTCTTAAAATATGATTTGGGTTTCTTGGGGAAGAGCTCAGTGAGTTATAATATATGCTTTGCATTCTGGAAACGGGATGTGATCTGGATGTGTACTGCAGTGTTGCATAATTACCTGAGCATTGCCAACTGTATCCCCTGTAAAGACCTAAATTCTAATCTACAAAGCACTTACTTTTTTTTCAATAAACAAAAATGATTTTATTGCATATAAAGATAACAGAGTTTACCTGATCCATTTTAAGCATGAGTTAACGATTTCCTGTACCTATAAAACATATTTCCGTGAACATTCTTGGAACTAAATCTTTTAACCGACCTTTCATAATTTCCTTAGGGCAAATTTCTGGAAAAAATAAGAGCTGAAAATTTGAACTTTTTTTTTATTTTTGGGTCACACCTGGCGATGCACAGGAGTTACTCCTGGCTCTTCACTCAGGAGTTATTCCTGGTGGTGCTCAGGGGACCATATGGGATGCTGGGAATCAAACCCGGGTCGGCCGCATGCAAGGCAAACGTCCTACCCACTGTGCTATCTCTCAGCCCCTGAAAATTTTAACTTTTAAAGCTTTAGGTATTTCTTGCTTTGTGACGCTTCTAAAATGAACATAACTTTTCTTTCCCATTATTAATAAAGTGTCTCAGTGGGACTACATTCCCACTAACATTGCGAAGCACTTTTAAGAATTTCTTTTTGTGGGGAATTTGGAATGAGACATTCATGCTGAATTGGGTCCAAAATGTGGCTGAGAGCTTGGTGAGTCAGGCCAGGGCCAGCAGAGGCATGACCCCCAGATACTTGGTCAACCAGAGTTTCTCTTGGGCTATGGGTCCCTCAACCATTAGACATTGAAGATATTTGATAATCTTCAACGTGGTGGCAACACTTCTTCTGTGAAACGGAACCATGGAAAGGAACAGCACAAGGCTCTTGTTCTCTTCAAACTTGGCAGACATCACACTGTGAGGTACTGGGTACGTTGCCCAGGGACTTCTATGCATGAAGCACACACTGCAGCCTTTGAGATAACTGTCCAACCCACAGCTGTCTCAGCTCTGCATGAGTACTCTGCCATCTACGTTCCCATTATGACTGGGATGGAATTCCTCAGGCTTTCTTTTAATTCAGGACCCTGATCAACTTGATTTTATTGTCGATCTTTGATTTTGTGTTTGATTTTCAAGTGATCACAGTGCTTGTCTGTGAGGGGCATCTTTCTAGTGAAAATGGACTGCTCCATTTCCTCTTGAACCAGACATTTAATCTCTCTGAGTGGCCACGTACTACAAACAAAATATACGGAAACCCTGATTAGCAATGTATGTGTAGATTTCTTATCACTTGCTGGATAATATTGGTCAGTCCTTTCTCCTCCACCATGAGGAGCTTAGGTTTACTGAGTAACGCTAATCACAATGCTCCTGAAGTGCTCCCATTCATCCTTTTTTTAAAAAAATTTTAATTAGTGAAACACCATGAGGTACAGTTGTAGACTTACAAATTTTTGTGCTTGGGTTTCAGTTATACAATGATCAAGTACCCATCCTCCACCAGTGCCCATTTTTCACCATCATGGTTCCCAGTATCCCTCCCACCCCCATCCCAGCCTGTCTCTGTGGCAGCGCATTCCCTTTTGTTCTCTCTCTCCTTCTGGGTGTTGTGGTTTGCAAAAGAGGCATTGAGTGGCAATCATGGTCTATAGTCTATGTATGGTCTATAGTCTACTTTCAGCATGCTTCTCCCATCTTGGGAGGATCCTCCCAACACCCTTTATTTGGTGCTCCCTTCTCTATCTGAGCTCCCTTTTCCCCTAGCATGTGTGGCTGGCCTCCAAGCCATGGAGCAAAATTCCTAGTGCAAATCGCGGCCACTCTTGTGTGTTAGTCTCCTATTTTGTTACTTTATGTTCCCCAGATGAATGCAATCTTTCTATTGCTATCCCTCTCTTTCTGACTCATTTCGCTTAACATGATACTTTCCGTGTAGTACCACTTGTATGTAAATTTCATGACTTCATCTTTTCTAACAGCTACATATTACTCCATTTGCTCGCATTCATCCTTAACTTCTCCTTTGTGCTCTGCTTCCCCTGTCTGTTAATCGCTCATTTCTTCCAGTCATAACCTGTGACTTGTAAAGGCAGTCTGCAGAGATCTCTGGACTTTGTACTTGTAAGTGAAGTACTGCTTTTCTCTTTCCTTTATGTCCCTTTTCTATAGACACAAGAAGACAAGTGATGCTATGCTCTTGTTACTTGAGAGTTCATTGACTCCAAATAATATTAACTCTGGGCACCCATCATATAAGCCTTCTGTTTTTATGGAAATTACATACCTATTGGGGGATTTAAATTTTGTGGAGAGGCTTTGCCACAACTAGCAGTGTTCAGGGACCTATAGGTCCACACCCAGTCTCGTAGTGCCAGGGATTGAACTGAATCAGGGTTGAGTCCATTCTTTTTCTTAACTGCTTTACTATCTCCCAGCTCCCTGATTTCTTTTGTTCAAGGGGAGCTTTTGTGCCAGACCCACGGGTGCTCTGTGCACCCTATGTAGTGCCAGTTATTAAATGGAAGGCAAGCATGTAAACCCCTGTACTCTGTCCCTGGCCCTCTTTTTTGGGGGGTGGGGGCATGAATATTTTTAAAGTAAAAAAATAATTACAATGCATTCTGAGTAGATCTATCTGGAGTCAAATGTTAATCTATCAGTGACCCAGAATTACAGTGATGCGCTCCTTTATAAAATGAGGAATCAATAAATACCAATAATATTTTAGGGAGAAATTCATATCAAAAGGAAATGCCAGAAATGTAATGGTGACTGCTGACTCCCTTCAGCTGCTCAGACCCGGACCCGGATGCAGTCAGAGGGATGGGAGGGGCAGCACGGAGCTGCTGAAGTGGCCGCACGGGTCCAAAAGCACAAGGGCATCTCCGTTACTTTCAGAATCTTTGTCTCCAGATTTTGCTCCTGGAGACAGGAGTGATGATGCCATTTCTTTTTGATCATAAAGTGGAACCCCTTCCGCAAGCAGCCTGTACTATAGTGCTGTGGAATACCATCCAATTTTGGACATAAGGCCCTTCATCTCTTTCACCAGATCATTCCATTCGAGTAGAATTTCTTGGACCATGAGAAGGGGGATACTGAGAATTTTATATGTGCCTACCCCCAATGGATGATCTCACTAGGGAGGGGACCCCATGGACAAGCCACAGGTGACTGAGGTGCTCGTCGGGCCAGACCCCTTGTGGGATCTTCGCTCAGGAGTGTTTGTGTGAGTCCCCCACTCGGGCCACACCTCGAAGGACCAGCTTCTGAGATCTCCATTAGGCTGAAATGGTCGTCCACGGAACCGCCTGTTAGAGCCCACCAGATCCTATAGTGGGTGTCCTGGGACCGAATCAGTCACTCACCCAGACATTCACAACACAGACCAGAGTCTAGAAGACATCCCCAATGCCCGAGCCAACTCTCAAAACACAGAAAACCAGGAGCGCAGAAAACATGGTGCATAAACCCCAGAAAATACTGCTGCCTCTGGAACAACATCAGAGGCCTCAGTGGCACCTACATTTCTGTATTTCCTGTAGAGGCCCAGTGCCACCTCTGGATCTCCATCAGAGGCTTCAGATGCAAATCCTCACGCAGGATGATCAGTCCTGGGAAACCCAACTCATCATTCAAGACACACCCAGCAGCGCTTGGGGTTACTCCTGGCTCTCCACTCGGGAATCACTCCTGGTGGTGTGGGAACCTTGTGACTACACCCCAACAAACGATGCCCCGTGGCCCCCCGTGGGGTGACAGAGTAGAACCTGGCTCAGCCATGTGCAAGGCAAACCCTATCCCCACTGTGCTGTCTCCTAGAGGTGTGGCCGGGTTGGAGCACCACCTGGGTTGTGGCCTCACTTCCCACCACAGCCTCACCACAGTGACTTGCTCACAGTAGCTGAGGCTTCTCCACCGTGGAGAGGGGGTCTCAGTCTTGTCCCCGCATTACATATGAAAGTATGAAAGCACAGATCTCAAGAGAGATGCGGTGACACATGTGCTCCGGCACCACCTAAGCGGAGCAGCCTATGTGGTCAGGGACTCCAGGGGGCGTTGGCATCACACCTGGGTCGCCAACGATCGAGGCTCAGCCCTGCCAACGTCACCTCCAGGCTTTTCCAGTTTGTCTGGGAAAGCTGGCGTCCTGTTTCTCTGTGTTCACGCTGCTTTCCGCCAGCTGGGGTGGGGTCTCACTTGCAAGGGCCTCGGAGCTAGAGTCTAGAGTACCTCCTGGAGGTGGGCCCCATTCCTGCTGCCTGGGAGCCTGGTGGCCCAGGGGCGTGGCCTCACCTTTGAGCCGCCAGTGGGCGTGGCCTCCCCATGAGCCCCGTGAGGCATGTGAGCTGCCTGGGGGCGTGGCCTCACCTGTGACCTACGGGGGGCGTGGCCTCACCTTAGAGTCGCCAGTGGGCGTGGACTCGCTATGAGCCTCCTTGGGGCATGGCCACACCTCTGAGCCGCCAGTGGGCGTGGCTTCGCCTGTGGGCCTCGGGGGTGTGGACTGGCAAGCCCCGCCCACGGGGGCGTGATCCCCTTGTGAGCCTCCTGGGGGCGTGGCCGCGCCCAAGAGCTGCCTGGGGGAGCAGAGTCGGGAGGGCCAGGTGCTCAGGGGGAGCAGCTGCTGTATGCCTGCGTGTCTCCTGCGCTTGTGGTCAGCCTTGGCACCCCATGGCCTGCGAGGCCTTGCCCCGTGTGGGTGTGTCCTGC